TTATTTTTTCCCATTAGATTTTTCCCCTAAATGTTTTGGGATAAGTTCCAAAACATGATGACGACACCCTAAATAAAGTAAAGGACGACCTAGCTCTTTTTCAATTGTAATTGCTGCTCCTTTTATTCACCCAGCAGTTGTGTCGAACACCATACCAACAATTGTGTCAGAAATGTTCCATTCTCTTAGTTTGTTTGTTGTTGAATTTCGCGCAAAGCTACACTAGGGCTATCTGCACTAGCCGTCCCTAATTTAGCAGTGTAAGACTAGAGGGAAGGCAGCTAGTCATCACCTCCCACCGCCAACTCTTGGGCTACTCTTTTATCAACGAATAGTGAGATTGATCGTCACATTATAACGCCCCCACGGCTGAAAGAGCGAGCATATTTGGTGTGACGGGAATTCGAACCCGCGACCCTCAGATTGCGAGTCGAGCGCCGTAACCACCTGGCCATGCCGGGCAATTTTCTTAGTATAAGTAAACATTTTATTCTAGGGCTTGTGATCGTTCTGTGCTATCTTTTATTTCTTGACAAGCAAGAAGTTTTCCTTCTGAGCATTCCTTTGGGTTCCCTAATACAAGAACTGCCAATCGATCTTCAAACTTGCCTTCTGCATCACAGCATATTTTACTGCCCCAATAAAGAAATAAAATGGGAGGAAATTGACATTTTTCTTTGATTATTACTGCAATTATCTCTCGCTGAATTACTCGGTTTCTGTATCAGTTTGATTTACCTACTACCACACTTTTGAGGTTCGACTCCAACTGCTTGTAAAAGTGCTAACGCATAAACTATTTCTCCTAGAGATGTCTGCTTTGTTCGATCGGCGGCAGCTAAAACACTTGAGTGAGTTAAAATGTTTCGTGGCATTTTTGAGGGTATTGTCTCTTCTCTCTGTCTTCTTCTTTCTTGGATGTGATCAAAGTTGACATCTTTCTCCAAGTCATCAACATCTTCCGACTCTTGTTCATAGGATGCTTTGGTAATATCTGATACGCTACTTTCTTGTGAAGAAGATAAAGTCAATGAACAGTTCAGCCTCACTTCCCTCCTCTGACGTTGTTAGACGTATTTCATGTCCAGCTCAGCTTAGAATAATTTTATTCCCCCATCTTTTGGCGCTTTGAACTGATCATCAATGAAGGCAATGTCTGATTTTTGTGATTGGGATGATTGCAGTCTGTCTTATTTGATTTTTTTTCCTTAGCGTTCTCACCAAGCAATGGACAAATGTGGCTTAGTTTGAGAACAAAATCTTCTGTCTTCTTTCTTTCGGTATCACTTTGACGGGACTTATTTTTGCCAAATTTCTGGAAGACTGATATAAATTGAGGATTTTTTTTGAGTATTTTTCTCAATAGGCATGCCTGAGGGAATTCGATCATAAATTTCTTTTAGTCAGAGATCAGTGATGACATAGGACTTTCAAAATTACCATCATCTATTCTTATCTTTGAAAACCCTTTTAGCATCAATGTAGTGAAAACTATCACCTCAAATCTTGGCCATTTGTAAGTAGTTGTCTGATCGTTTGCTATTCATCATCATCTATTGTATTTCCAATTAAATACTTAGAACAACTTTGCTTCGAGTTTCTGGTGTGCTACTTGTCATTGGTTTCTTACATTTCTATTGAACCTTAAAAAAGATATCAAAAAATAGAAAAACGTATAAAATATAAATATAATTTAAATATAAAATATAAATATGATATAAATATAAAATATAAATATCATACAAATTTAAAAAATCAAGAAATTTAGTTTTTTCATTGAACAAAAAGGCCTTTGAGACAATGTTTTTTTTTTTCTTCAGTTACACCACTTCTGGCCTTAATAGCTTAGTTACCATCCACATAATGGCATTAGGCCTGAAAATTAGGACATTTAAAAATAAAAGTTTTTTGGGGACATCCTAACTTACCATCTCGGTAACCCAAGTTTGCTCTCTTGTAATGTGTGTGTGTGTGTTTAGTTATAACAAAGCCACACTGAGGTATATTCTGCGTCCACCGAGAGGAATCGAACCCCTGATTTTAAGAGTTGTAAATCCGAAGACTTTTCGCTTTCCCACCGGCGGGCCTTGTAAGTCTAACTCTAAAACCTTGCAAATAATGTTTTGCAAATGGAATAAAGATCAATAGTGCGAACATATTTTCATTATCGTTTTTTAATCTCTATTATTCAACAATAGTAGTGAACCTACACAATACCTAAATAATGTTTTGTTTTGTTTTTTCTTGAAAGAAAGCTGTTTCATATTTTGGTACTGTCTCGAAATCTGGTGCTATTTAAAAATTATCCTAAACGACATTTATGCTTATAAACACCGTTTCTTATCGGAAACAGGAATGTGATTTATCAGGTGAGTCCAGAAAATAATGTTTACTGAACTACGATATTTGGATAGAGAATAACTCGATAAAACGGAAGTTGAAGATATATGTCCCTCTATTTACTCAGATGTATGATCATATGATCATAATTTCAAGAGCCAGATGACAGTGCTACAAAAGCTATTAAATATTATATTACAAAGAGCTTGGTGACGATGCTACAAAAGCTTTTAAACTTCGGCTTATACAGAATCTGATGATTATACAAAATTATTTGTTTGTTTGTGAGTAAGCACAAAGCTACACAATGGGCTATTTGTGCTCTGCCCACCACGAATACCGAAACCCGAATTCTAGCGTTGTAAGTCCGCAGACATACCGCTGTGCCCCTGGGGGGGGGGGGGGCATTGTACAAAATTTTGATTTAAACAGAACGGGATGGTGGTCTACTATGGATGTTAAAATTTTGATTTAAACAGAGCCGAATGGTGGTCTACTATGGATGTTAAAATTTTGGTTTATACAGAGCCAAATGATGGTGCTACGAAATCCATTAAATTTCTGTTTACAGAGAGTTGTTCGTTGGTGCTACAAAAGCTTTTAGATTTCGGTCTATACAGACTTGTGTATATTTCCAAAGCAAATTTGAGTTATGTGATCACTATCTTCTGTCATACTCAAGCACATTTCTCTACAAAACCAAGTTTGTGTCATATATATTTGTTTGTTTGTAGAAGCATAAAATTACACAATGGGCTATCTGTGCTGAGCCCACGACGGATATCAAAACCCGACTTTTAGCATTATAAGTCCGCAGACCTACTGCTGAGCCACTGGGGGGCGTTTATGCTACAGAAAACTAAGCAAGAGTTCACTCTGTAAATTCTATAACTATGTACTTCTTATTGAAAGTAAGCGAGCTACGTATTAAATTCATTTAAGAAATGAAATAAATTCATGAACACAATTTTAATAAAAATACCAAATGCCATAAATTGGTGAAACAGAAAACTGAAACCTATAACGACTAGAACGTTTTGAATCTTAAGTTGGGTAGTCTTGCTATTAGAGATATTTTTAGTCTTATATCACATTTCATCTCTCATAATATCCTTTTAAAATTAAACATTGATAACCATATAAACGAAATATTTACATAGTTTAGTGTCATACACAAGAAAGACGGAAGCTTAGCAAATTCTCATTTATCTAAATTTTGACTCAAGTGTTTAACCTGGTTGTGTTGAGAAATTAATCATAGTAAATTCGCTACAACGTAAATTTCACTGTCGCTCGAATGATATAAAAAACAATCGATTTGTAAATACCCTCCGTGATCATAATTTTATGTAGAATGTACAGGAATTTAACCACAAGAAAGAAGATTACTAAGTCGCTGAACACTAAGCAGCACTAGTCTCCGAGAGTCTTGTTACATGGAAGATTATTATAAAATCATTAAACAATAAGCAGCACTAGCCTCCAAGAGTCATGTAACAGGGAAGATTATTACAAAGTCACTGAACACTAAGCAGCACTAGTCTCCGAGAGTCTTGTTACATGGAAGATTATTATAAAATCATTAAACAATAAGCAGCACTAGTCTACGAGAGTCATGTAACAGAGAAGATTATTACAAAGTCACTGAACAATAAGTAATACTAGCCCCCAAGATACATGTAACGGGGAATATTATTACAAAGTCACTTAACAATAAGCAATACTAGCCTCCAAAAGTCATGTAACAGGGAAGATTATTACAAAGTCACTAAATGCCGAGCAGCATTAACCTCTGAAAGTCTTAATACAGGGAAGAACACCCCAAAAACACTAAACACTAACCAGAACTGACTTTTAGGAGACTTGTTACAGGAACGAAAATTGTCAATAATCACTAATCAGTACTAACTTCTGCAATTTACATTAAAGAACATTATAAAGCCATCTAACATTAAATAGCACTTTCGTCTGAGAGATTTTTCACAGAAATAAACATTACAAATTCAATAATTCCTAAACAGCACTAACGTTTGGGAGACTTGTTAGGTAACTGTAAAGCCGATTTTTACGAATTTAAAAATTCTATAGCACGATTTAAATTTAATTTTTCATATAATTCGTAAAGCACCTTTACGAAGCGTTTACTTGTTCATTGTTTAACTTAACATTATCATATAACACAAAAGACACTAACTTTAATTGTTATAAGAAAACAAAAACAAAGAAACGAACTCACTCTTAAAAGTAAAATGTTCCTCTCAATGGAAATTCAAAATTTAACTTAATATTTGTCTGAAAGTATATTTGCTATCAAGTCACAACACGTTAAAAACAAAAAGGAAATTCTTTTTAACTGGGGAATACAGTACTATAGCATTAATATCTGTAAGAAATAATGCTGGACTTGAAAACTGATCATATATTTTAGTTATGATTCTTATATGTATACTTAGAATCTAAATTTCGAAAACCCTTCTATTCTTATTACATGTCGATAATAATGATATATTTCCTCTGTTACTCGGCCTATTGAGGTCGTGTTTATAGCATAGTCTACAGAAATATCATCAGATTACTCCTTGACTTAAAACTTGTCAGTAATTTCAACCTTTCAGGGTGTATATAACTACCTGTACGACATTTACAAAATATCTAATGTAATTACAGAGCTCTTTCTTTGGAGGCAAATACGAAGATTTGATTCTCAGTGGAGTATCATGTACAGGAGACGAGGATAGCCTAGCTGATTGTTTGCACGATGAAACTGGACATGTAGAGTGTCCAGGAAAAGATGAAAGCATTGCAGGGGTCATCTGCACTACTGGTATGTTTATAACTCCAAAGTGGTTTGGTACAGTTACAAGTGAAATCTCTATTATTAGTTATAGCAGACTAGTTTCGGTAACATAGGTACCATTATCAGGGTTAGCCCTGATAATGGTAACTGTGTTACCGAAACTAGTTGGCTATAGCTAATAATATAGATTTTACCTTTCATTCTGAAAAAAAAAGTCGGATTTTGTGTTTTTAACTCTTAATATAGTACCATAATATGCCTTAAAAGAAATTATTATAACTTCAAGTTAAGCCTCCAGATGTACAAATAATCACTACTACAAGTAGGATTAGATGTTGAATTACAGAAAAGTTTTCATGACGCGCAACTAATCACCAATAGCAGATGGTTAACCATGATAAGTAATATATTAAATATGATACCTAAACGCTATACAACTAACCACCAATAGAAGACGGTTAACCACGATAAGTAATATATTAACGATGGTTCATTAATGTTTTACAAATGGTCACTAATTATCATTGAGTTGTGACCAAAGCAAATTCGGATATTTTGGATCGGATATTCACGTAGAGCTACACAAGAGCTGTCTGATGTAACCGTCCTTAATTCTAAACTGATAGAGTAGAGAGAAGACAGCCGGTAATACTCACCGTCAACTTTTAGGCTACTCCAATTGAATAATGACATTTTACCATCGCTCTTTGAAAGCACTTATGTCCTCAAATTGCAGACAGCGATTTATTTTTTGAGCAACGGAATGCAATATACGTACCATCGAATCCACAATTTGGGACGTTAACTATTAGACCAAGCCCGGCCTCAAATACCTACCTACGCAGTTGAAAGCTAAAATATGGTAGGTTTACCACAATAAATGTTATATTATACATAGTTTACATATCTTTCATACGTCAGAAAAGTTCATTAAGTTTTAACTTACTTACATTTTTACCTCTGTCAGTTACTGTGCCTAATGATTCTTTTCTTTTTTACCAGAGCAAGTGTCTCCTGTTTTACTTATACAAAATGTATTTTGCAAGCACTATAAGGCCTTGTGTGTGGTATTTTATTTATTTTCAACTAGCTGGCGTACCCGTTCAGGGCATGGGGAAGACATAATAGCTCCCGGAGAGTGACATAGGAGTGCAAGATAAGAACACCAGCCCCTATATCACTCCCTGGGGGTGGGGTTAATGGTTCATGCCAAGTTTGGTTGAGACTGGTCAGAACTGAAAGACAGTATTGCCCTCTTGGTATAACGAAGAGGTTATATCCAAATTCCGAACCGTATGTATGCCCTCTTGGTATAACGAAGAGGTTATATACAAATTCCGAACCGTATGGCACTCACAGAGAAACCCTAAGGTGCCAAAGTTGGGTTCGATTGGTTAAAGTATGGGTTTGAAAAGTGGACATAAAGATATACAGAAGCAATTTTTAGTTTATGCCTGATGGTTTTCTCTATTCAGTTTTACAAGGCTCGGTATACAATGTGAGTTACTATCTGTAATTTTAACAATTCTATATATATATATGTATATTTACAGTTTTGCCAGACCTTGTTCCCGATGAAAAAGAAATTGAACGTTCTACTTACCTTGAGGATCGAGAGCTGTTGTATTTACAGTGTGCCATGGAAGAAAATTGTTTAGCGTCTCATGCTTACCGACTACAGGAGAATAACGATTATGGTGAGACATTCTTATTTTCTAGATTCTACACCTCATATCAGAGGATCGTTAAACTGTCCAGTGAAAACAATTTGAATTCTAATATCATTGACTCTAGAAGGTTGCTAGTCAAAGCAAGCCATTCACATTCCGGGTTTACACAAACCATTACTCTAAGTTCAACTCATTATGCAATGTCAAAAACCAAAACCTTATAATAATTAGGATGCATTTATTAACCAGCTGGGTACCATCGTTGTTAGAAATATTTTCGTCAACGATTAATGACAATATTAAATAACAGGTATATCTAAATTAGAGCGAGAAATATCGTTTATGCCAGCTTTATTTACTACATAAAAGTGTGATAACTAAATGGAGATATTTATTTTTCAACACTATCTATAAGTCGCCTCAGCTTACCTTACGAAAATCCTATAAACCATTGAAAATTTCAACAATAAAAATGATTACTTGATAATAATTATACGTTAAGATTACTTTTCAAATATTTTAAATAACATCCAGGGTAATGTATTGAAACATTGTAGTTAGGCCTACATATAATTTAGAGTTAATGTTGAAATGTTTTAGGTGCACTTAGGCCTACAACTTGTTTATGAGTGAAAGCATCGTATAACAAAGGTGAAATAAGAAATAAACTAATTCGTTGTTGTTACGTGTGTTAGACATCACATTACTTTCACTAAATAATTCAAAAGAGTGAGTGAAACGAAAGAACATGTCACAGTATGATAGTATTTCAACCACACTATGTTCGTCATATCTATTGCCGACTATGTGTTTTGCTGAAAACAAAGTTCATCAGGCCAGCTGGTGCACAACAAACACAATACTGGTAAGAACACACACTATTTCTATAAGCTATTTATAATAATAATTGTTGTGGTGTGAATCTCTTTTTCGAAGCATGATTATGAATAATTTTAATTATGAAACAGTCTAATATTGTGTGATAATTTCAGTGTTGAAATAGTAGCATTGTAATTTTTGTTCTGTACTACCACACAGAAATAAGTTTCAAACATATGTTCTAATCTTCTTCAGTTGTATACAGTTATTTGCGGTTTCCCATTGTCAAAAAGTAATATGAATAATGTCAGATGTTTAAAATTCAGATCCTCACATGAATATTATTTGTTCAGATAAGGATTTTACAACGTAATTAGCTTGGCCATTTCAATTTCGTTTGATTGATAGTAGGTATTTTAAATACAACAGTTTCTCAAAATAATAATAATGATTAGAGGATTATCGGTGTATTAGGGATGAATAGAGATTACGTCAAAGGCAAGAGACAAAATCATGACTAAGTAAGACGATCTTGAGGCCTCTTATAACATATAGTGTAATCATTTATCTATTCTTTTAATTATGTATTTTGTATGTTTGTTTATTTGTTCCTGTTTACAATTTTGCACAAAGCGTCACGAGGGCTATCTGTGCTAGCCGTCCCTAATTCTAAAGTGATATACTAGAGGGAAGGCCTAGTCAACAGCACTTACTTTTAGGTTACTCTTTACCAACGAACCGTGGACGAGCGTGCTCAGGGAACGGGATTCAAACCCTCGATCCACAGATTGGAAGTCGAGTATCCTAACCATCAAGAAAAGTCAGATTGACCAGAACACAATAAAAAACCGTACCCATGTTTTCCACCATTGCAACTAAAAAGAACCCTAGTATATCTATCAAAAACACAGTCATTTTAAACAAAGAACCAAACATAAACAGACGAAAAATCAAGGAATCCATTTTAATTGAACAAAACAACCCTACTCTAAACCAACATCCTTGGGTTCCAAGATTCCTCTTCTAAGTTTTGCAACAATATCCGGTCATGTGACCTCTTTGTTCAATACTGTGTGTATATATATATAT